AAGATGGAGGGCAAAAGAAGAAGGGGACGGCAGAGAATGAGGTGGCTGGATGGAGTCACTGAAGTAGTAAGTGTGAGCTTAAATGGACTCGAGAGGATGTAGAGGACAGGAAGGCCTCAATGAACATCGTCCATCAGGTTACGATGGGTGAGACACGACTTCACAACTAATAACAACAATCTTAATCTGAACCTGGTCATGTGTGCCTTGAGTAAAAACTCTGGGTGGAACTGTTTGATGATCCATTGGTTGGTTTTCATGGCTATCAGTCTCAAGAGTTTTCTCTAACACCAAAGTTCATAAGTGTCTTTCTACTCCGCTTTGTCAAATATTAGGCTTTACACCTCACAAAACCTGTGACTATTACCACATGCATGACTCAGTATCATCAAAGCTTGGTATATTCCTTTTATTTTGTTTGTTCATAAGTAATATTTTCCCCAGGTTGCTAAGCAACTTTAACCAAACTGACACTTTTGCTTCTCACATACTTTTTTTAAAATATATAAACTGTAGAAACGCATGTTCCAAATTTAAAAATATGTTTGTTCCCTTTATCCTCGCCATTCTGGAAAGTTATGAACCGAATCACCAATAAATTTCACCATGCTGGTTCAAAGTGATTGAATTATAGATTGTTTATTCTATACCTACCATCTTTGCCTTACAACTACAACTGAGTCCAACATTTCGATTCTGAGACATTTGTTAAGTGAATTTTGCCTCATTTTGCAATATTTCTTGACATTTTTACCAAAAGGAATAGGTTGGCTTGACGATGGCTAAGGTTTTGTATAGCAGAGTCAATGGTAAATGTTTGTTTTAAATGAATTCATAGTTAACTGGAAATCATGTGATGAACCACCCAAGAACTCACATTTTGTTTCGTTTCATGTGGCATTCTTAATTAAAGCGTGTTCCTTTGATGGCTTGCCCTGCCTCCAATTCTTAGTTTTTTGTGTTTAATTTATCTATTTAGCAGAGTAAGTTTGTATTTCAAATAGAGTCCTATTCAAAAGAAGCAGAATCACAACAATCATATATTTACAGGGACTAGAGCACTGGGCCACCTTCAATTATGAACTCTGTGGAGCTCACTCCATGCATAAGGTTATGCAGTAATCTCCCAACACTTAAGTAATCCTTTTTCAGGTGTTAGTGAAATGTTGCTTCCTTATGTTGGAAGAAAAGTCCATCTGGGTTCAATTCCAAGAAAGATATTGGAAACATGGTGGCTGTTTGGAAAAATGGTTTAATGATGAACAGGATCTCATGGTTTGAGGTCCTGAGCAGAAAAGGGGGAGAGATGCTGAGGAGTGCCTGGGTTTTATACCCACTCTGGGCTTTTGAATTTGAGCTTGTATTCTGATTGGTTGTCAGATTCCCAGGGGCAACTTTGGAGGTTGTCCTTTTGAGTCCCAGGCTTGGTTGACTCTTCCTGGGTGATGATGTAATGAAAGGACTTTGGACAATTCCTATTATGACTCTTCCTGACGGAGGTAGATCTTTGTTATGTAGAATAAACTGGCTTGGGCCTTAATGACCCATTGACAAAGGTGGGGTGGGGGGAGTCTGTGTCCTTTTAATATTTCCTAAAATATTCCATTTCACTTCATAATGAAAGATACTCCAGAATTTTTCCTATGGTATAACATCTATTTAAAAATGAGCTTAGCTTTTGTAGAGGAGGAGTTTTCAAACTCTTTCAGGCTGTGGAACTTTAATACAGACAAAAACAAACAAACAAACAAAAATATTTCCTAAAATATCTCGTTTTCCTAGGAGAGGGACGGGTGCTAACTTCCTACACTTACAAAACATGCGTCCAGTGGTGGGTTTCAAAATTTTTTAGAACCTCTTCTGTAGGTGTGGCCTGCTTTGTGGGAGTGGCTTGCTGGCCATGTGACTGGGTGGGAGTGGCTTACCAGCCATGTGACTGGGTGGGAGTGGCTTGCTGGCCATGTGACTGGGTGGGACAGAAACTCTTTATGAAGACACTGGTATCAGACAATTT